GTGCATATATCTGTTCTTGTCATGATTCTCACTTCTTTAGGGTATATACCTAGTAACGGAATGGCTGGGTCAAATGGTATTTCGAATTCCAACTTTTTAAGGAATAACCATACTGCTTTCCACAATGGTTGTACCATCACAGTTAGTTCTTTATGACCTGGACCCCACCGAAGTCCTGCAAGGCAGAACTAGGTCTAGTCACCTATGATGCACAGAATTAACATGCAGTTAATACACTTAGCTGCTAATTAAAAGGCTGAAGGTTCAAGTACACTCAGAGGTACCTCAGAGGAAAGACCTGGCAATCTATGTCTGAAAATTCAGCCATTGAAAACCCAGTTCTACTCTGACATACATGGGGTTTCCATGGGTTGGAGTTGACTCCATTGCAATTATTTGTTTTTTAAAAAACATTTTTAAGTTGATCATATGCAGAGATATGAAGCATTCATTCAGAGACTTTAGTGTTACAAGCTGGAATTCCAAAGTGTGATGCTGCCCACTTTTGATGAGGGGTTTGTTTGATGTAGATGAAAAAGCCAGCCTGGGAGAGAAGAGATGTAAGTTCTAGTCCCATTCTCTGCTGCTGACCAGCTATGTAATCCATAGTTCACCCCTTCTGAGTCTAGTTTATTTACTACTGAAATAGGGGGATTGAACTAAGTGGTTCTCAACCCTGGCTGTATATTAAAATCACCTGAGAGATTTAAAAATTCTGATGTCTAGGCCCCACCCCAGGAATTCTGACTCACTTGGTCTGGCGTAGGCCCCAGGTGCTTCTAAAGGCAACAAGGATTGAGAGTCCCTAGATTAGATGATTTCCAAGGTCCTTCCAGCTCTAAAGTGCTGCAATTAAATTATTTTATTTCCCTTTTCAAGTCTATATTAATTGCAGACATTCTTTCAAATGAATAAAAACTCTACTTTGAGCCAACTTGGGATTTAATACTGCAATTACTTTTGGATAAGGTTATGCTGACCCACTGCCTTCTCTCTCTTAACAAGTAGTCACTGTACTGGGCATTATGGAGTCAGGGAACATCAGAACTGGAAGGGTCCCAGAAATCACCTGAAAGATATTTTCACACTTCCTTTAGCTTCAGAACACTTTGTCCAAACTAAATCTTTACTTCAAGCCCACTTTGGAAAATGACAAAAGCAGAATAGCTCTAGGAGGGCTCATGGGGGTAGAGCTATGCCACATCGCTGACCTCCAAGCCCCAATTTGGTTGCCACCATCCAGGCTCCCTGAGCATAGACTGGAAACCTCTGAGTTTGGCTATGCTCATAGAAGAAAACACCACTGGAGCCTACCTTGATCTGACAAAAGTAAATTCCAGAGAGATTGTACATTTAAATGAAAAAATAAATAAATAAACTAAGAAAAATTGAAGAACAGAATTTAGGAATATAGGCTGTGTGTTAATGGGGGAAGTTTTAAAGCAAAACAGGAAACTAAAAAACTATTAAGGAACAAATAGACATATATGTATAAAATGAAATGTCAGGAATGGAACAGAATACCAAAAAGTCACATAAGGAGCCCGGTGGCACAATGATTAAGTGCTTAGCTCCTAACCGAAAGGTTGGCAGTCCAAACCCACTGGCTACTCCATGATAGAAAAGACCTGGCAATCTGCCTCCATAAAGAGTGCAGCCTAGCAAACCCTATGGGGCAGTTCTACTCTGTCATATAGGGTTGCTGTAAGTTGGAATCAACTTGACAGCATGGTAACAACTAAGACAAATGACAAACAATATACTGAGGAAATATATTTGTAATACATATGACAGAAAACAAGTCAGTATCCTTCATAGAGTTCCCACAAATTCATAAGGAAAAGATAATCCCAGTAGGGAAAAAAAAACCTATGTTATTACTGAAGTGTGGAAGGATTTGGGGACATCAGGCTTATGTCACCTGAACATATGCCAATGTAGCGAGTTTAGGGCCCGGGGAGGGCCATGGGATCTTGCCCTCAGTGTTGGGCAGAGGAGCAGCTCCCAGCCTTTGGAATATGCCTCTAGGGAAACAGAAACAGTAGTAGAACAGGGTCCCTTGGGCTGCCTCTGTGTCAGCCTGTGACTGTCTCCATGGGCATTCCTGCCTGACATGCCAGCACGATGGTAGTGAACAAGCTGTACCCTTTGCCTATGCTGTCAGTGGCTTAGGTCAGGAATTCTGAACCTACCGTGAGGCATATGTTCTGATTACCTAGTGCCACTCTGACAAGAATATACCACAAATGGGATGGCCTTAACAAACAGGAGTTTATTCTCTAACAGTTTGGAGGCTTTAAGTCCAAGTTCAAAGTGCTAGTCTGTAGAGGCTGGATGAAAGCCCCTCAACCTTAGGCTTCAGCACTGCCTCCTGCTCCCGGCCCACTGAAGCTAGAGGCTTTTCTTCACTCAGACAGCTGCTGGCTGCTGAGACTGACAAGCCCAAAGTTGACAAGTAACAAGGCATGGTCCTGATGTTACCAAACTACACAGCAGGCCATGAATTCAAGTCCATTGAAAGTCCCAGGGTCAGCAGAGCATGGCAGGCTGCTGAACAATGACACAGCTATATGCAAGGTTCAAGTGTGCCATAAACTAGAGACCATTCCCAAAGCTGTTTCTTATATATGGGAAGCAGACCACATACCCAAAGCAGCTACTCAGCTGCTCCAATAGATTCCACCATGGAGTTAATTACCAATCTCACCATGGGGAATAACTATATTCATATGCCCAGCCACTCCACCAGGCCCAGGCAAGTTGACACACAAACTTAACCATCACAATTCCCATTAAAAATATAACTGGGGATGCAATGAGAAGGGCACTTCACCTCTGAGGCATTCTTCTCCAAAACCAATAACCCAAGTCTAACTATAAGAAAAACATCAGACAAGCCCAAATTGAGGTATATTCTACAAAATTCCTGACCAAGTACTCCATAAAACTGTCAAGTCAAGAAAATTAAAAAAAAAAAAAAGGCAGAAACTGTCACAGGCCAGAGAAGACTAAGAGACATGAGGACTAGCTGTCATGTGGTACCTGGATGGGATCCCGGAGCAGAAAGAGGACATTTTAGTTACCTAGTGCAAAGGAGCTCTGGTAGCATAGTGGCTAAGACACTTGCCTGCTAACCAGACGGCTGGCGGTTCAAACCCACCAGCCACTCCTCGGAAGGAAGGTTGGGCAATCCTACTTCCGT